AATCCTTCTTTTTTTTTCTTACTATTCTGCTATCGAAAAGAAAGAGCCGCATGCTGTTTATTTGGAAGAAAACTGGTCTATTATATATTTTTTTCTTTCTGTTAATAATGAAAAAACAAGAGAAAGTATGGATCTCCACACACACTTCTATTAGTCGGTGCAGCCATATTGAGCCTTCTCCACTCTGAAGTTACCTGCTACTTGTAGCTGTTGTTGACAGGTAACTTCGTACAACGTGGTAGAATCCAATTTTTTTCAACTAAAATATTTCTTAAAATGTTGAGAAATAGGTTTTAAATTAGAAGATATTAAAAGTAAAAATAACTTCATCAAATTAGGCCGGTAGACTCTGCATCATGAAATTTTTAAAATCTACCACTAATCAATGTGTACTATTTTTCCGCTGTATATGATGTTTTGCAGAAGGTATGTAGTGGCGTAACCACGGGTGGGCCAGACCGAGCACCGCCGGGCCCCCGGCAGTCTTTGTCCGGGCACCGCGCGAAAAAAACTTTAAAAAGCAACATTTTTAAACTGTGGATGGATTTTTTTAAAGGTCGTGGGGCACTGCCCTACCACGCGTGGATTCCTGGTTACGCCACTAGTCGTATGCCAACTATTGTGTTAGTTCCCGAGTATAAATAAACTATAATAAGCTTTACTAGATGGAGGTTACCAGCATATCATCGATAAAAAAAATTAAGTTTGATCAGAGTTAAAGAAAAGTGCTTTTTCGTATTCAGTACACTTGATAACCTTGAAATTTTCTATTCTTAGCGAGGGGTACCGTCATAAAGTTAAGAGAACTTTTCAAACTTGTATAATTATGCCATGAATATTTTCTGCGACAATTTGTTTGACAATTTATCTTAACTTTTTGCCGGTACCCCTCACTAAGAATAGAAAATTTTCAAGGTTATCAAGTGTGCTGAATTTGAAAAAACACTTTTCTTTAACTCTAAATGAACTTTAATTTTTTGTCTGTGATATGGTGGGTTGAATTTTATTCCATGCAGTACAACTTCTCGAGCTCTACAAGTTAGTTGTGACCAATAGCAGGTAACTTCAGAAAAAAATATTGCAAAGGACTCAATATGGCTGCTCTGACTAATAGAAGAGTGTATGGACATCCATATTTTCTCTTTTTTTTTGTACGTCTCAAATTTGTTGTGATGATCGAGTATAAGGCTGACCTAGAGCATTACTGAATAAAAACTCATCGTCGAAGACAAAAGCATGGAAAATCATTCTTTTTTTAATGAAAACTCTTGAAAATTACTCCACATATCTGAGCGCAATGATAACATGAAAAGGTTAAAGAAATTTTCGGAAATTGATCTTAGTTTTTTTAAAAACTCTAGTTTTAAAGGATTCCGAAATCGGTGACGACTTTCTATTCTATAATAGCAAAAACAAAGTATTTTAGAATCAAAACGATGGCTAATGCTTGGGCCCCCAACCGTCTCCCGATACTGCTGTCGTTTTCAAAATACAGTGGAGTCCCTCATTTACTGAATAACCTTTTACCAGAAACAGATAAAACCAAGTGTTTTTTCTCCATTGAAAAGAGCAAACGTTTCGCTACGAAATGATGCATAAAGCCAAGTCGAACCATCGTCTGCAAGTGGTGTACCTCATCCGTCTTTTAAAGAGTTGATCGTCACATCATGTAGTTTCAATGAAGTTCAAATCTAAGATAGCATAGACAGTGGCCTACAATTCGATGAAAGCCCCAGCTCTCTAGTCAGCAGAATTCAGGAGTTACGTCGGATCACGGAAGAGATGCCTATCTAGCTGCCATTGGGTCCGGGAATCTTAGAACACGTCGTACATAGACTCTCATCCGTCCTAAACAACGTGGCAATGTTTATTTTGTTCGCCCAGTTGACTGGACCTTAGAAGACGAGGTTTTAAGAAAATTCGGCTTATAGCTGTTAAATGTGAAAGAATCAAATTTACCTAGAGCCTGTACTTTTTATTCAAAATGGATGAAACTTTGGAATCAGAGTAATTTGAATCTGTTCTATCATTTATCGCACCGAAAACTGCAAAAAAGACGGGATTAAATCAAAACGGCTTTCTTTAGATCTCTAACCCAAGGCTAAATTTCTCGTAAAAACCAAATTTTTTTGCATTCAAGACTTATAGACCAGTAGAACTAAGTCAAAACTGCTAATTCGAACAGTTTTATGAGCCAGGCTACGGTCCCTGATGAATATGATTCTTTCATGCTCAATGGACATAAGCCGAATTTTCTTAAAACCTCGTCCTCTGAAGTCCGATCAACTCGGTGAACAAAATAAACATTGCCACGTTTTCCAGGACAGACGACATTGTACAAAAACACTATCCGTTCGAGCGTTTGAAAGAGTGATAACCCGGAAATTTTTATTTATTGGTATTTCACGAAGTATGTATACGGCGTTGGACGGAATAGCTGTTAGAGTTGGACAGTAGTGCTGAATAGCGTGTTTTCTGTAGATTTCTTGAACTTGTGCATATTATGACGGGGAAGAGTGATTACTTGTGACACAAAAGAGCTAAAGTTCAGCAGAAAAAGAGAGTTAAAAGACCTGACGATTTCAGGTGGGTGCGCGGCAGAATATGTTCTTCTAGTCATTTCTGTATTAGCTGTGTTTAAAAAACTTGTGCTACTGTGTACTCATGATTGTTTGTCAAATAAAACCTAACCTAACCTAGATCGAAAATAGAGGTCTCTGTATAAATTCTTGTAAATAGCAAGCTTTTCAATGTATTTTTCTAAACAATGTTAAACTCTCTGAGTTTATGAACTAAATTATTTCAGAGTTAAAGTTAAATACTCTTTTTTGGCGAAGTCATGTCTGGTATTACAAACGAAACGCATGTAGCTTGGGTCCATTTCACTTCACCAAATTCTTCAGTGAAGGTAAATGTTGCGAATCGCAACATTAATAGTATATTTAGGGTAGTAATAATCTTATCATTTTGAAACTTTTAGTTTTGCTATTTGAAATCGTGTTTGTTTTAAAAGAAGATTCAGAAACTGCTACTCTGACTTGCAAGAGAACGATCCATATATAAGGTAAATGAGATGGTATTTATGACTTCTACAGTAAGTAATCCATTATACCTGTCCACCTTCTTCACCACCGGTCGTCGATGCATTTTCGCTCGTTCGCTCGTCTAACAACATTCCGCAAAATAACATCCATGGGATAAACAGCAGTCCAATTAATGACAGTCTCCAACTGACAACAAACGACACAAGTAGAGAGGCTGCGAGTGAAGTAATTGCCTTCGTCATAATACCGATACGTGCTCCGGTGAAACTCTGAAAATGATAAAAGTATTCATAACACCACCAGAAAAACTTTTGTTTATTATTTGTGTTGACGAGAAGGATAAGCAACCAAAATAACGCATGTAACATCTTGTATGAGGGAAAGACGCTACAACGGGTGATAAAAGCCGCTGGCAACTTTTATGGACTTTTGTTGATGAAAATAAAAGCTTAAACAAAATAAAAACACTCGAGATTAAGCTCAATTCAGTACATAATTGACTCTTTTTACAAAAACAAGTATTTTTATGTTGAATAAAAGCCTCTTTTGTTCTGGTTATGTCTGTTAGAGATAAATACCTCAGATATCTGCACTGTACACTGTAAAAAAAAGTCGTAGATTAATAAACTACGATAAAAGAATTTTTTGGACTAAAAAACCGATCAAAAAACTCCAAAAGGTATTTAAAGGGTTCTTTAGGCCCAAAAACTAAAAAGAGGTTGTGGTCGTTCATTTGCTTGGTCGTTATTTTAGAGCATAGTGCCACAAATAAATTAAGATGCTTACTGTTTTCATTCCAAGCCAGTAAACTTACCCAATTTATAATAATATGGGTAAGTGTATCGAAAACTGACCACTCTATGGACAGCTTTTCTTGCAAACTTGAAGACCTATCTCATTAAAAACAGTATCGAAAAACGTTATCGACAATTTATAGCATGAGGTCCGCTCAAACATTTTTCAAAAAGAAATTCTTTTTATCGAATAACTTAGGTTTGAAGATATTATGTTCGCTGACATTAGCAATCTACATCACAATGGTTTAAAATGTTTCTGGATGAAAAAATTTCGTTTTGAAAAATGTCTAAGGTCTAAACATTTTCGATCAAATATTTTTTTATTCGCAAAGCAATTGTCAAATACATCATTCAATGTGGTTTTACCAAGGGGGAAATAGCGGACTCCTATTTGGATTCCTGAAGTCCAGGAGTACAACAGCAAAGTGTTCTTTTTTGGGAATCACTTCCCAGAAAAGAACAAAAGTGTTCATTTTGGGAAGTGATTCCCAAAAAAGAACACTTTGTTCTTGGGCTCCTTTACTCCAGGAGTCCACAGGAGTCCGCATTTTCCCCCTTGGGTTTTATGCATAGATCACAAATCTGATGTTTGTTTAGCAGTTTAGTATTGAGAAAGTGATAAAACCTTTGAAATAAGTTTCAAAACATGCTGGGTGTCAGAAGAGATTAACCAAAAGTAATATGGCTCAAAATTTATACAAGAGATAGTCTTAAGTTTGCACTACTTGGAAATAACGAACAATTGAGAATAGTGAGTAGATTTATGGCAACATTCGAAGTGAGTGAAAACCAGCTTTCTTGCAAAAATTCTGCTTAAGGCTTCTTAATCCTTACTTATTGCTAATAATATAAAAAAGTGAACAGAATATCATTCGGCAGGGCTTGCTGACAAGCTTACATTGAATCGATTTAGGAGCAAAAGCTTTAGAATGATTGTAATTGCAATACAGCTAACTTGATCATCAAGTTAGCGAGCTATCAGTACAATCATTGACAAGCTGATTCTAATCCACTAATTTGCATTTAGTTATGCTTTTGTTATTATGTCAGAAAATATTATTTGCTGTAGTCTGTTTTCGTCCTTTTGCGAATTTTCAGATCAGTGCTGTCCTGTTTGTGTGCATTCTGAATTTTTCATACACCTGTCACTTTGATAATACTATGTAGCAGACGAGTTTGTCTTAATAGCAACTCTTGACTGTGTCGATAAAATATCTGACCCTTTCAGTAATGTCGGCCTCGTCCCCTACACGACGCCGGCGTTTTAAAAATTTTTAACTACATATTATTGATCAGAATTCGATGTTCTTTCGAATGAGATAGGTATCCACGTTTTCAGGAAAGCCGTGTATAAAACAGTCGACTTCCTGTGGCACTATCCTATATCAGAAATACTATATGCTATCACGATTATCATTGCAGAAAAGTTTTGTTGAAAGATCCAAAAAATTCATAGTATATGATTTCCTTCCCATGATTTAGACTTTTAATATGGAAACAACTCTGAAAGTCTCCTCGACTTCTGGTTTTTACAGCATCAAATTCTGTTAAATCTAAAAGTCTAAAGTAAACGGACTTATTGAACGGAATTTTCTACCTGTGAAAAGTAGTACGGAAAGGAGATGGAGGTGGTCAGGTCTGCGTAGGAAGGGTGGGTTTTACTCACTATCGCTTCTATCGTAGGGCTAAAATAAAGAAGCGATATCTTACTTGGTTTAAATTACTCACCTCTAGTGCTGATGCATCCGATGATAACCGCGTCATTAAGGCTCCAACACTATTGATATCCTCATCATGCCA